TCGAATACGTTCCTTGCAATCATCGAATGTCTTCCGAATCTTTGACGCGGTATGCTTATAGCCTCAGTACATCCTTCGTTAGGGGGCACGAACTTACACCACTGTATAACTCTTGAAGCGACTCCAGTGCAATATCTCATCGAATACATCAACTTCATTTCATCACGTAATAAAAAACCACGCAACATGATTTCAAAGTGCTTTACAAACTGTAAATAGTCGACTGGGTTTCCGCCGAAACACCGAGGTTCATACTTAGGAAGTTTGATGTTCCTATTATCCCTAGACGGCGAAACGTTAATATCAACCACGTCATGCTTAACATCAAACACATCGTTACATGTAACAGATAAGTCAACATGACATACTTTCCTGTTTGCTTCCATGACGCTCTGTCCCTTCTTTGACCTAGGCATCATTCAACTTGGCCAAAGTCCAGAAAGTTCGAGATAACTCTTGTTCAAAGAAGATTTGACCGGCACCAGGAAAGGCGGACGGAGACTATCAAACTGTCAGAAACTGTCAATCACGTCTCATAAACCGTTAATGCCCAGCTCTTGCTATGCTGGACATTACGCTGTCCCTCGAAGATTTTCAGAAACTCTTAGTATTAACTGACGCAAAAACCAAAACACTGTTTGACGGCTCAAGAATTCCTTATTCTAACACCAACATATAACCAGCATTACTGGCATTACAGATTAAGGTCTAGGAACAAATATTACAACAATAAATCACGATTCTGACAGATTTTGCTCTTCTTTATGAACAGTGACCGATAAGACGATGACTGGTGTATTGATGCCTCCGCGAAAATATAACATAACATAACATAAGCTTTATTCCAAATCAGTACTTGTGATACAGAATGGAATTCTCAGCATTTTACTACAATATTGCATCCATTTTTTTTACATTAACAATAAATAAAGTTCTATATAGTTTAAAGTTATCTCAACAACATATTAGTATGTCGGTAGCAAAGCCAAAATTAAAGTGTTTGAATGTGTTAGAAAAGTAGATACTACTAGCATATTTACTGGCGTAAGCGATAGCAAAATGTTCGAGATGTACAGAGTGTGAAAGAACGAACAAGAATGTTTTAAGTAGAGTTTGCAAGGAAGAGAGAAACAAAACAGCACATAACAAAAATAAATACAGAATGAAAGAGCGAGAAAACGTTGTACCTATAAATGATGTGAGTTGGAAAGACAAGATCCATTGGTTCTACTGACTATTTAATAAGTTAAAGGTTTCATGCCTGATGCATTCTTTATCGCACAGAACACGAGCTAAGTAGGGTATGGATGAGTTTTTGTACTTACTAGTGCGGGCATATAGTTTCCTATACAGGCTTCTTGTTTTCCCTGAAGAGATACATGGGGACAGTTGTGAATGTAGAGGGTGTTGTGAGTCAGATAAAATGGATTTCGTCCATTTTTCACATGAGTCCATATGCCTGTCCACCAGAATATTAACAAGCTGGCTAAGTGGTAAACTGCTTACCCTACTGACAACCTTTAACATCCTACGTAATAAGGTATAGTCTTTCTTCAATAGCCCAGGAAAGACTAAGGGGGAGCAATAGAGAATTATAGGCAGAATACGGGAGTTAACAAATTGTAGTAGTAAGGGTTGGGTTACACCAGAATGTCTTAACTTCTTGATGTAGAAGGTAAGACGGTATATTTTCTTGGAAATCGTCAAGATATGAGACGACCAGGAAAGATCAGAAGATAGAGTGACGCCTAGGTATTTAATTTCCGACTTGGTTTCTATTTCACTGCCATCTATGTTGCACACCTCATGAGTGCTAACCAGTTTGTTTGGGTCAGATTTATGCCTAAGGGTGAAATTAACTGTTTGGCATTTGGAGGGGTTTAAGGTTAGACCGTTTTCCTTGGACCATTGGCTAATTTCCGATAAGAAGCCATTTAGTTTAGAGCAGTCACTTTGACATTTGACAGGTAAAGACACAGTTAGGTCATCAGCATATTTGACAAAGTTAATGTCATTTGAAGACGGTAGGTCATGTAGAAAGAAAGAAAAGAGAAGTGGGGAGAGTACAGCACCTTGGGGGACACCAGCTTCTGTGAGCACAGCAGAGGAGGATTGGCCTTTGTATACGGTGTACTGCATTCTGTTTGAAAAGTAGGAATGCAACCAGTTAGTGACCCAGGACTCGGTTTGTGTCATGGAGAGCTTATTTAGCAAGAGACATCTAGGTACAGAGTCGAAAGCAGAAGTAAAGTCAAGAAACGTGCAGCGGACATATTTGGCACCTTTGTCTAATGATGAGATAATACTGTTGTGTAAGACGGCTGCAGCGTCTAAAGTACTCCTACCCTGTCTGTAGGCAAATTGTTTGGGGTCTTCGAAGCTTTTAAGGGAGGGTTCGAGTTTAAGAAGTACTAGTTTTTCCATGAGCTTTAGAAACGGGGAAGTGATGGCGATGGGTCTGAACTTTACGTTCTTGCTATTGCCAGGTTTAGGGACAGGGACTATTTTAATGTCTTTCCATGGAACAGGTACAACGTTTTCACGGAAGGAAGCATTTAGTATATTAGTTAGAGGAGAACATAAAGCATCTGCACATTGTTTTAGAACATATGCAGGTATGCTATCAGGGCCAAGACTATGTGAGGGCTTAAGAGTTTTAAGACATTTCAAAACATCGAGAGTATTGAAGTCCTGGAAGTTATCAGCTACAAGATTGGTAACGTTAGAATTGGTTATAGTAGAAGGAGAGCGTAAAAAAGACAGATTAAGAGCATTAACATCAAGAGAGGGAAAAACATTACATCGCTTACTGTTGCCAGTAATTTCATTGAAAAGTTTCCACATGCTGTTAGGAGATTTGCATGATAAAAGTGTTTGGTTATAGATAGCATTAAGATTTTTGATTTCAGATTTGATTTGAGCATTAATCTTTTTAAGACCTAACTTGTCTTTGCATTTATATAACAATTCTTTTTGCCTGCGAAGTTGTTTGAGACGAGGAGACGAGAAGCGGTCGAGGCGTTTGAACAGTGTTTGTTTAGGACAGCAAATGTCGAGGCAGAACTTAAGATAATCCATTATATTGGTGATTGAGTCATCTAATGTACTTTCATAGAATAGATCCCAGTTGGTACCTTTTAACATGCGTCTTAGATTGAGTAAGTTGTCAGATGTGTAGCATCTTTCTTGTGCTTTCGTAGACAGGTGTAAGAAGATTTTAATATGTGTTTTGCTGTATATTTTTGGCAAAACGCGGACAATGCAGTGATCGGAGTTATGTATCGGTGAACGTCTACGTGTTTCATATACTCCTTCGTCATTAGTAAAAACGAGATCGAGTGTTTTGTCAAGTCGAGTGGGAAATTTGACTATGTTTGTGTGACCAAGAGCTTCAAGAAAGGAACAATCCGATGTGTTGAAGTCTCCAGTAATAACGGATAGAGAGTTGTCGAAGTTGGCAGCAGCAAACATGGTGAATTCATCAGCAAAATTAGATAGATCAGATGGAGAGCAACTAGGAGAAATGTACATGTTTGTAATATAGAATTGTTTATACTTGGGGAGGTGTTTGGGGCGACATTTGACAGTAATACAGTCAATGAAGTCATTTGAGAAGGTGAAGCAGACGTTATTTGAGACAGACCATTTGGAGTGAATAAAAGTTGCAACGCCACCACCATTTTTCTTATTACAACAGCGACGGTCTTGACGAAATAAAATAAAGTCCTTTAGTGAGATAAGGTTGTCAACATACAGTTCATGCAACCACGTTTCTTGTAATGCGATTATGGCGGTGTTATGATACGTATCAGTTGACATCAGGGATTGTAGGTACATTATCTTATTTGGCAGAGAGCGACAGTTTGAGTTCATTATGACGGGGACCGTAGTTAGGTGTATTAGTGTACGTTTGAGAGCTCTCTGCCAACCACTACGATGTTTCCTTCTTGGTTTCTTTGGAATATGAAAGTCATTTGGTCGTAAATCATTAATAAAGTTACGAGAGTAAATGATTCTGTTAGAATTCATATTAAGTTGATAAATGTATGCCGGTAAACAGTAAACTGGATGCAAAATGTAGATATTTTGGTAGCAGGCCCAAATATTCGAACAGGCCGCCAAGGTCAAGGTCGTATGGGGTAGTTGGGTTTGAGCAAACAACCATGAATTGATCGTTCAATCTTCAACTATATTGACATAATGAATGCGTCAAAATGGTTTATCTATGACAGTTCCATACAACATTCAGGGGTGAACAATTAAGTTTGTCGTTTTTTTCCTTTTCGTTCTCTCCCGTCTTACTCTCCTGACAACATTAACTACACTTATCACTATTACCACCATTACCTATATATATTTATCATTCATATTCTTCATCAAATTTATTCAGCTGCCTGTTGTTACGTTTTCTAACTTCTTCTTCTGTTCGTTAACCTGAGTAACTTCACTAATTCTATCGAATATTATTATTATCTCTTTTCTTTTGACGACGATATCGGAGGGCTAACTGGTGAAAGGACCAATTCCGTTAACAGTAGCAACAGTCTTCACACATCTCATACCACAAACCACACATAATTATTCCTAGCTTTACTCCTTTGGGAAACAGTCAAAGTTATGACAGCGGGTGGCGCGACGAGCTACACAGAAGTGTACCGAAGATTAGGAACCTATAACTCACAAACAAGAGGCGAGAACAAATAAATCCAATTAGTTTATACTAGCAAGAAAAATGGTTAATGTATACCTCACAATCAAGAGGAGAACACAAAGAAATCAAACTGGTGTTTACTAGCCCGTAAAAATGATGTTGGATACTTTATTTATATCAGTAGCTAAAAACTGGCTGAATGTGAATATGACAGCTTGATTTTCAGTAAACTAGCCCACGAGCAGTCAGAAGTGAAAAACCTAAAATATAGTCATGCTAAACGCACCCTTATGTGAAGTCCTATGCATCTTACGAGATACCCTGTTTGTAACAGTTGGGTTTGTTTATCTGATTCAGAATAGTGGTTGCTCACAACATTCAGTCATACCACCTTCTCAAATTATGGAAGGCAAATTAGATAAAATTGGTTTGGAAGTACCTTTGCACAACTATGTAGCCCAAGATAAAATATGGTAGGTTTCTTCAAATTCTTGTATTTGTAAGGCGTGACAACTGTATTAAGGAAGCAAGGGAATCCAGAGCTTGGTCGAAAAACTGGAGTTTCCTGACACTGACTCCAGAAGAAATCTTGAAAAATGAAATGCATGACCTGGTTGATTCTCAGAGAAAACCTATAGAGATTCCTGAACACCTAAAGATCACTGAGGCAGTACCTATATCTGATTATATTAAAATTGAACCGTCACCAACACCAATACCATTAACAACTAGTAAAATGATTGGGTGGCGATCAGGTTTGCCTCAATATCAGTTGGACAAATACAATGTGACTAGAAGACCCCAGGGTTCTCTTCTGAAACGATTCAATTGGCCTCTGGAGGCTCTGTGATGACTAATTATTCTTTATAAAGATATCGCAACATTTCCAATAATTTCAATAAAGCGCAAAATTATTTCCAAACACAACCTAATTTACTTTTGATGATCAAATTGATTAAAAGTCTACTATTTATACCTTCGTGCGTCTAATCATGTATGCATTACTGGTAGACAGCTACGAATCTCGCGTGGTGATTGTTTGTACATTCTCTCGTTGAGCTCGCAACTGACAGGCTTATAACATGCGTAGATCGTGGATGATCTGACTTCTAGTGTACTACCAAGCTGCCATATTTGGTACGCTTGTGGAGTCCTCAAAAATAAACTTATCCAAATTTTACTACTAAAGTTGACTTGGTCAGGGCATATCATCAAATACCAGTCGCTCCAGAAGACATTGCAAAAACAGCAATTATTACGCCTTTTGGATTATTCGAATTCTTGAGAATGCCTTTCGGACTAAAGAATGCTGCTCAAACATTTCAGCGTTTTATGGACCAAGTTACCCAAGGTCTTGATTTCGTCTTTGTATATATCGACGATGTCTTAATTGCCAGCTCATCGATGGAAGAACATATGGAACACTTAAGCTTGTTATTTCAAAGGTTTGAACAATTTGGAGTTGTTATCAATCCAAAGAAATGTATTTTTGGTTCCCCTTCCATTGAATTCTTAGGACATCGAATAACTACCGAAGGCATCAGACCTACCGAAGATAAGATAAAAACTATTAAGAACTTTCCCGAACCTGATTCCTTAAAGAAACTTAGACGTTTTCTCGGGATGTTCAACTTCTACCGACGTTTTATTCCATCATGTGCCTCCATAGTTCAGCCACTGACCGACCTACTTAGATGCAATTCGAAGAAATTTCATTGGTCAGAAGAGGCAAAAGCAGCATTTAATAATGCAAAAGATGCCTTATCCAACGTTGTAATGTTATCTCATATCAACCCAGAAGCTTCACTCATTTTATGTACAGATGCATCGCAGGTAGCAGTGGGAGCAGTTTTACAACAAAAGTTCAATAATGACATCACTCCACTTGCTTTCTTCTCCAAAAAGTTGGAACCTGCGCAAACTCGTTACAGCACTTTTGGCAGAGAACTGTTAGCCATCTACCTAGCAGTGAAACATTTCAGCTTCTTACTACAAAGTCGACATTTTGCTATCTTAACCGACCATAAGCCTCTTTGTTATGCTTTCACCACTTCGTTGGACAGACACTCTCCGAGAGAAGCCAGACAACTGGATTACACCTCACGATTCTCAACAGACATCCAGTTCATCAAAGGAGATTCCAATATCGTAGCCGATTCTTTGTCTCGATGTGACGTTAATCACCTATCTTCGATAGATATTAGCTTAGACAATATTGCCAAGCTGCAGAAAAATGACGCCGAACTCCATACTTGTAGACGAAACTCCTCCCTACAGTTGCAGGATGTACCTATTCCCCTGTCTGATACAACTATCGTCTGCGACGTTTCAACGGGCGTTCATAGACCTTTTGTTCCACTAAGTTGTCGAAAACCTTTGTTTGAACATCTACATTCATTGTCTCATCCTGGAGTGCGTGCTACGGTCAAGTTAATCAGCGAGCGTTTTGTTTGGCCCAAGATGAACTCCGATATTCGGAAATGGGCCCGCCAATGCTTGCAATGTCAAAGATCCAAGGTACATCATCATACCGTCACACCTCCAAAACAGTTCAATTTACCGGATAAACGATTTCAACACGTTCATATAGATATTATTGGACCATTACCGCCATCCAGAGGATTTACTCATATACTTACTGCGATTAATCGATTTACCCGATGGGCTATTGCTTGTCCACTCAACGATATATCTGCAGAAAATATCGCTTTGGTTTTCTTAGATCGCTGGGTGTCAAACTACGGAGTACCCACAACTATTACAACAGACCGAGGAGCTCAATTTCAATCAACTCTGTTTCGAGAGTTTACGAGACTCTTTGGAGTGAACCATATCTCCACTACAGCTTATCATCCTGCAGCGAATGGTCTGGTGGAACGTTTCCATCGACAACTGAAAAGCTCGCTTATGGCACAAGCTGACTCATCTAAGTGGAGTGAACACCTATCATTAGTTCTTCTCAGTATCCAGACAACTGTAAAAGAAGATTTGGGATGTACACCAGCTCAACTTGTGTATGGTACTACCCTCACATTGCCTGGTCAGTTAGTTCCGTCTAATGATTCAGCTGAAGTAAATATCTCCGACTTCACCAACCGCCTTACCCAGCAAATGCTCCAGCTTCGACCAGTAGCCTCTCGCCAATCACTTCAGAAAGTTCAAGTTAATAAGAATCTACTCACTAGCAAATTTGTATTTGTTCGCGTCGATGCCATTAGAAAAGGTTTACAGCATCCATATGAAGGTCCTTTTCTAGTACTTAAACGCACCGATAAATACTTCACGCTGAACAAACATGGTAAACCGGAGACTGTTTCTATCGACCGTCTTAAACCAGCGTACACCGACAGCAAACATGAAACACTAGCAACGCCGACACCAATGAACAATCAGAAAGTCAATTCAACTCCAACTCTCCCTCTCTTCACTCTTCCCCCTGTACAGACACGCAGTGGACGGCAGATCTGTAAACCTGCCCGCTATGTTCATTTTATTGACTGACATAAACGTTAACCTCATTTAGACATTCTTCTCATTACTAATGTTGTCGAGATTCATTTCATTATAATCATAAATATTTATTAGTATTATTATTTGCTGTTCGTCAACTGTACTGCAAGCACACGCATTCACCAAGTATATGTATATATCTATTTATATATGAATTTCACAAATGTTAACGAACATGTCATGGTTTATTATGTACATAAATTTTTTATTTAAAATTACAACAAGTTTTGATTTTTTTAAAATTCCTGTATGTGCTTGTATGTGCTAAACTTTATACGACACGGATGCATTATACACATCCTGATCTAACTTTTTATCCTTATTGTTGTTATTGTTATTTTTTGTTATCCTTATTGTTGACATTGTCCCTTATTTATATTGCTTATATTCATGTAATCGTCCACGAGGACAGTACTGATGGTCCTCCGGACCTCTAAGAGGGGGAGCCCTGTGGAGTCCTCAAAAATAAACTTATCCAAATTTTACTACTATGTAAATAATGAACATATTGTACACCACTTTGTTTTAACCATAAACTCTGTACTTTGAACTTTACCTCGGGTTTTGAATAAACATATAGTTCTGCCTTCGACTCTCCGTCTTCTCCACCATCTCAACTGCCGTCGATCAATTTTAATCACCTGCTTTCTATCTCAAGTTTTTGCAGGAGCACCGTAGTTCTTCCTACGTACTTTGGTCGACCTCCGGCAACGTCAACATTGGAGAATTAGTACTGGAGCAGTCTTCCCGCAGCACCTGGAGTCTATAACGTTTATTGTGGACTTTGGATCTTTGTAAACCCAAGTAACCAGACTTTAATACATTCTTCCCGTAACTAAACTGATTTGGTACTTTATTTTCTATTTGAATTTGGGTAACTAAGCTAATAGAGTGAAAAGGTCCACCACAATAATTGGTGAGCCCGTTTCGAACCTTTTTTTATGGTTAACCCGTTTTCAAACCTTTTTGTTTCGATAGTTAACTCGTTTTGAACATTTTTGTTGCTATTTTGGCCTTATAAACTCGCATTGCTTTTATTTTTGTTACCACAAGTTTTGCTATTTTGTATATCTCTATACTAAACTTTGTTTTGACAATGGCTCCATATAAACGTGTCACTTTTCCGGAAGAACTTCATAAAGGCGAAGTGATACAGAACTCTCCTGTTACCGCCTTGCCGGATTCCACATCTATGAAGGACGCACCAACGTTTTGGTTACTTTCCCAGTTAACATCTCAAATGCAAGACTTACGACTGGAAGTGTCCGAGCTTCGAGCACAAAGGAACCAGTCACATACGGTATCCAAGCAACGGCAATCAAGATCTAGACGACGTTCTAGAACACCGTCCCAAAGCCGTAACATTTGTTGGTATCACAGGAGGTATGGGCATAATGCCCTGAAGTGTCTTCGACCGTGTATGTACAACAGTGGTAACTCATCTCAGGGAAACTCCCCAGCCAGACAGTAATGGCGACGGCTGTTACTGGCAATCACCCCAGTCGCCTTTTCTATGTGAGGGATTTGACTACCGGCACATTATTCCTGGTAGATACAGGCGCCGAGGTCAGTGTTATTCCCCCTTCACTATCCAGGCGATCAGCCAAAATACCTGGAAAACTTTCACTCCGTGCTGCCAACCAAACCAACATACAGACGTATGGCGAACAGTCAATGATTTTAAACCTAGGACTACGCCGACGTTTCACATGGATCTTCATAGTAGCTGACGTACGTCACGCTATACTAGGTGCAGACTTCCTAAGTCACTTCAATCTGTTGGTTGATATCAGCAAGAAAAAACTGGTTGACAATTGCACCCAACTCAAGATCCACGGTATTACATGTGACTACTCTGTTCATAGCATCTGTATAGAAAAGCCGGAGAGTGAAATGTTCTCTGCTTTATTGCAACGATTTCCTAAAATCCTTAAACCATCATACAACGTCGAAGATATATCTCATACAGTTACGCATAAGATCATCACAACAGGACAACCTGTGAAGGCACGTCCACGACGGTTACCACCCGATAAACTAGCAGCAGCTAAGTCGGAATTCGAACATATGATGCAGCTAGGTATCATACGACCATCTAACAGTCCATGGTCTTCACCTTTGCATATGGTACCTAAAACTAATCACGACTGGCGACCATGTGGAGATTATCGCGCTTTGAATAACGCTACGGTCCCAGACCGTTATCCAATACCTCATCTCCACGACTTCTCCTTGACCTTACATGGAAAGACCATTTTTACTAAAGTTGACTTGGTCAGGGCATATCATCAAATACCAGTCGCTCCAGAAGACATTGCAAAAACAGCAATTATTACGCCTTTTGGATTATTCGAATTCTTGAGAATGCCTTTCGGACTAAAGAATGCTGCTCAAACATTTCAGCGTTTTATGGACCAAGTTACCCAAGGTCTTGATTTCGTCTTTGTATATATCGACGATGTCTTAATTGCCAGCTCATCGATGGAAGAACATATGGAACACTTAAGCTTGTTATTTCAAAGGTTTGAACAATTTGGAGTTGTTATCAATCCAAAGAAATGTATTTTTGGTTCCCCTTCCATTGAATTCTTAGGACATCGAATAACTGCCGAAGGCATCAGACCTACCGAAGATAAGATAAAAACTATTAAGAACTTTCCCGAACCTGATTCCTTAAAGAAACTTAGACGTTTTCTCGGGATGTTCAACTTCTACCGACGTTTTATTCCATCATGTGCCTCCATAGTTCAGCCACTGACCGACCTACTTAGATGCAATTCGAAGAAATTTCATTGGTCAGAAGAGGCAAAAGCAGCATTTAATAATGCAAAAGATGCCTTATCCAACGTTGTAATGTTATCTCATATCAACCCAGAAGCTTCACTCATTTTATGTACAGATGCATCGCAGGTAGCAGTGGGAGCAGTTTTACAACAAAAGTTCAATAATGACATCACTCCACTTGCTTTCTTCTCCAAAAAGTTGGAACCTGCGCAAACTCGTTACAGCACTTTTGGCAGAGAACTGTTAGCCATCTACCTAGCAGTGAAACATTTCAGCTTCTTACTACAAGGTCGACATTTTACTATCTTAACCGACCATAAGCCTCTTTGTTATGCTTTCACCACTTCGTTGGACAGACACTCTCCGAGAGAAGCCAGACAACTGGATTACATCTCACAATTCTCAACAGACATCCAGTTCATCAAAGGAGATTCCAATATCGTAGCCGATTCTTTGTCTCGATGTGACGTTAATCACCTATCTTCGATAGATATTAGCTTAGACAATATTGCCAAGCTGCAGAAAAATGACGCCGAACTCCATACTTGTAGACGAAACTCCTCCCTACAGTTGCAGGATGTACCTATTCCCCTGTCTGATACAACTATCGTCTGCGACGTTTCAACGGGCGTTCATAGACCTTTTGTTCCACTAAGTTGTCGAAAACCTTTGTTTGAACATCTACATTCATTGTCTCATCCTGGAGTGCGTGCTACGGTCAAGTTAATCAGCGAGCGTTTTGTTTGGCCCAAGATGAACTCCGATATTCGGAAATGGGCCCGCCAATGCTTGCAATGTCAAAGATCCAAGGTACATCATCATACCGTCACACCTCCAAAACAGTTCAATTTACCGGATAAACGATTTCAACACGTTCATATAGATATTATTGGACCATTACCGCCATCCAGAGGATTTACTCATATACTTACTGCGATTGATCGATTTACCCGATGGGCTATTGCTTGTCCACTCAACGATATATCTGCAGAAAATATCGCTTTGGTTTTCTTAGATCGCTGGGTGTCAAACTACGGAGTACCCACAACTATTACAACAGACCGAGGAGCTCAATTTCAATCAACTCTGTTTCGAGAGTTTACGAGACTCTTTGGAGTGAACCATATCTCCACTACAGCTTATCATCCTGCAGCGAATGGTCTGGTGGAACGTTTCCATCGACAACTGAAAAGCTCGCTTATGGCACAAGCTGACTCATCTAAGTGGAGTGAACACCTACCATTAGTTCTTCTCAGTATCCGAACAACTGTAAAAGAAGATTTGGGATGTACACCAGCTCAACTTGTGTATGGTACTACCCTCACATTGCCTGGTCAGTTAGTTCCGTCTAATGATTCAGCTGAAGTAAATATCTCCGACTTCACCAACCGCCTTACCCAGCAAATGCTCCAGCTTCGACCAGTAGCCTCTCGCCAATCACTTCAGAAAGTTCAAGTTAATAAGAATCTACTCACTAGCAAATTTGTATTTGTTCGCGTCGATGCCATTAGAAAAGGTTTACAGCATCCATATGAAGGTCCTTTTCTAGTACTTAAACGCACCGATAAATACTTCACGCTGAACAAACATGGTAAACCGGAGACTGTTTCTATCGACCGTCTTAAACCAGCGTACACCGACAGCGAACATGAAACACTAGCAACGCCGACACCAATGAACAATCAGAAAGTCAATTCAACTCCAACTCTCCCTCTCTTCACTCTTCCCCCTGTACAGACACGCAGTGGACGGCAGATCTGTAAACCTGCCCGCTATGTTCATTTTATTGACTGACATAAACGTTAACCTCATTTAGACATTCTTCTCATTACTAATGTTGTCGAGATTCATTTCATTATAATCATAAATATTTATTAGTATTATTATTTGCTGTTCGTCAACTGTACTGCAAGCACACGCATTCACCAAGTATATGTATATATCTATTTATATATGAATTTCACAAATGTTAACGAACATGTCATGGTTTATTATGTACATAAATTTTTTATTTAAAATTACAACAAGTTTTGATTTTTTTAAAATTCCTGTATGTGCTTGTATGTGCTAAACTTTATACGACACGGATGCATTATATACATCCTGATCTAACTTTTTATCCTTATTGTTGTTATTGTTATTTTTTGTTATCCTTATTGTTGACATTGTCCCTTATTTATATTGCTTATATTCATGTAATCGTCCACGAGGACAGTACTGATGGTCCTCCGGACCTCTAAGAGGGGGAGCCCTGTGGAGTCCTCAAAAATAAACTTATCCAAATTTTACTACTATGTAAATAATGAACATATTGTACACCACTTTGTTTTAACCATAAACTCTGTACTTTGAACTTTACCTCGGGTTTTGAATAAACATATAGTTCTGCCTTCGACTCTCCGTCTTCTCCACCATCTCAACTGCCGTCGATCAATTTTAATCACCTGCTTTCTATCTCAAGTTTTTGCAGGAGCACCGTAGTTCTTCCTACGTACTTTGGTCGACCTCCGGCAACGTCAACATTGGAGAATTAGTACTGGAGCAGTCTTCCCGCAGCACCTGGAGTCTATAACGTTTATTGTGGACTTTGGATCTTTGTAAACCCAAGTAACCAGACTTTAATACATTCTTCCCGTAACTAAACTGATTTGGTACTTTATTTTCTATTTGAATTTGGGTAACTAAGCTAATAGAGTGAAAAGGTCCACCACAATAATTGGTGAGCCCGTTTCGAACCTTTTTTTATGGTTAACCCGTTTTCAAACCTTTTTGTTTCGATAGTTAACTCGTTTTGAACATTTTTGTTGCTATTTTGGCCTTATAAACTCGCATTGCTTTTATTTTTGTTACCACAAGTTTTGCTATTTTGTATATCTCTATACTAAACTTTGTTTTGACAATGGCTCCATATAAATGTGTCACTTTTCCGGAAGAACTTCATAAAGGCGAAGTGATACAGAACTCTCCTGTTACCGCCTTGCCGGATTCCACATCTATGAAGGACGCACCAACGTTTTGGTTACTTTCCCAGTTAACATCTCAAATGCAAGACTTACGACTGGAAGTGTCCGAGCTTCGAGCACAAAGGAACCAGTCACATACGGTATCCAAGCAACGGCAATCAAGATCTAGACGACGTTCTAGAACACCGTCCCAAAGCCGTAACATTTGTTGGTATCACAGGAGGTATGGGCATAATGCCCTGAAGTGTCTTCGACCGTGTATGTACAACAGTGGTAACTCATCTCAGGGAAACTCCCCAGCCAGACAGTAATGGCGACGGCTGTTACTGGCAATCACCCCAGTCGCCTTTTCTATGTGAGGGATTTGACTACCGGCACATTATTTCTGGTAGATACAGGCGCCGAGGTCAGTGTTATTCCCCCTTCACTATCCAGGCGATCAGCCAAAATACCTGGAAAACTTTCACTCCGTGCTGCCAACCAAACCAACATACAGACGTATGGCGAACAGTCAATGATTTTAAACCTAGGACTACGCCGACGTTTCACATGGATCTTCATAGTAGCTGACGTACGTCACGCTATACTAGGTGCAGACTTCCTAAGTCACTTCAATCTGTTGGTTGATATCAGCAAGAAAAAACTGGTTGACAATTGCACCCAACTCAAGATCCACGGTATTACATGTGACTACTCTGTTCATAGCATCTGTATAGAAAAGCCGGAGAGTGAAATGTTCTCTGCTTTATTGCAACGATTTCCTAAAATCCTTAAACCATCATACAACGTCGAAGATATATCTCATACAGTTACGCATAAGATCATCACAACAGGACAACCTGTGAAGGCACGTCCACGACGGTTACCACCCGATAAACTAGCAGCAGCTAAGTCGGAATTCGAACATATGATGCAGCTAGGTATCATACGACCATCTAACAGTTCATGGTCTTCACCTTTGCATATGGTACCCAAAACTAATCACGACTGGCGACCATGTGGAGATTATCGCGCTTTGAATAACGCTACGGTCCCAGACCGTTATCCAATACCTCATCTCCACGACTTCTCCTTGACCTTACATGGAAAGACCATTTTTACTAAAGTTGACTTGGTCAGGGCATATCATCAAATACCAGTCGCTCCAGAAGACATTGCAAAAACAGCAATTATTACGCCTTTTGGATTATTCGAATTCTTGAGAATGCCTTTCGGACTAAAGAATGCTGCTCAAACATTTCAGCGTTTTATGGACCAAGTTACCCAAGGTCTTGATTTCGTCTTTGTATATATCGACGATGTCTTAATTGCCAGCTCATCGATGGAAGAACATATGGAACACTTAAGCTTGTTATTTCAAAGGTTTGAACAATTTGGAGTTGTTATCAATCCAAAGAAATGTATTTTTGGTTCCCCTTCCATTGAATTCTTAGGACATCGAATAACTACCGAAGGCATCAGACCTACCGAAGATAAGATAAAAACTATTAAGAACTTTCCCGAACCTGATTCCTTAAAGAAACTTAGACGTTTTCTCGGGATGTTCAACTTCTACCGACGTTTTATTCCATCATGTGCCTCCATAGTTCAGCCACTGACCGACCTACTTAGATGCAATTCGAAGAAATTTCATTGGTCAGAAGAGGCAAAAGCAGCATTTAATAATGCAAAAGATGCCTTATCCAACGTTGTAATGTTATCTCATATCAACCCAGAAGCTTCACTCATTTTATGTACAGATGCATCGCAGGTAGCAGTGGGAGCAGTTTTACAACAAAAGTTCAATAATGACATCACTCCACTTGCTTTCTTCTCCAAAAAGTTGGAACCTGCGCAAACTCGTTACAGCACTTTTGGCAGAGAACTGTTAGCCATCTACCTAGCAGTGAAACATTTCAGCTTCTTACTACAAGGTCGACATTTTGCTATCTTAACCGACCATAAGCCTCTTTGTTATGCTTTCACCACTTCGTTGGACAGACACTCTCCGAGAGAAGCCAGACAACTGGATTACATCTCACAATTCTCAACAGACATCCAGTTCATCAAAGGAGATTCCAATATCGTAGCCGATTCTTTGTCTCGATGTGACGTTAATCACCTATCTTCGATAGATATTAGCTTAGACAATATTGCCAAGCTGCAGAAAAATGACGCCGAACTCCATACTTGTAGACGAAACTCCTCCCTACAGTTGCAGGATGTACCTATTCCCCTGTCTGATACAACTATCGTCTGCGACGTTTCAACGGGCGTTCATAGACCTTTTGTTCCACTAAGTTGTCGAAAACCTTTGTTTGAACATCTACATTCATTGTCTCATCCTGGAGTGCGTGCTACGGTCAAGTTAATCAGCGAGCGTTTTGTTTGGCCCAAGATGAACTCCGATATTCGGAAATGGGCCCGCCAATGCTTGCAATGTCAAAGATCCAAGGTACATCATCATACCGTCACACCTCCAAAACAGTTCAATTTACCGGATAAACGATTTCAACACGTTCATATAGATATTATTGGACCATTACCGCCATCCAGAGGATTTACTCATATACTTACTGCGATTGATCGATTTACCCGATGGGCTATTGCTTGTCCACTCAACGATATATCTGCAGAAAATATCGCTTTGGTTTTCTTAGATCGCTGGGTGTCAAACTACGGAGTACCCACAACTATTACAACAGACCGAGGAGCTCAATTTCAATCAACTCTGTTTCGAGAGTTTACGAGACTCTTTGGAGTGAACCATATCTCCACTACAGCTTATCATCCTGCAGCGAATGGTCTGGTGGAACGTTTCCATCGACAACTGAAAAGCTCGCTTATGGCACAAGCTGACTCATCTAAGTGGAGTGAACACCTACCATTAGTTCTTCTCAGTATCCAGACAACTGTAAAAGAAGATTTGGGATGTACACCAGCTCAACTTGTGTATGGTACTACCCTCACATTGCCTGGTCAGTTAGTTCCGTCTAATGATTCAGCTGAAGTAAATATCTCCGACTTCACCAACCGCCTTACCCAGCAAATGCTCCAGCTTCGACCAGTAGCCTCTCGCCAATCACTTCAGAAAGTTCAAGTTAATAAGAATCTACTCACTAGCAAATTTGTATTTGTTCGCGTCGATGCCATTAGAAAAGGTTTACAGCATCCATATGAAGGTCCTTTTCTAGTACTTAAACGCACCGATAAATACTTCACGCTGAACAAACATGGTAAACCGGAGACTGTTTCTATCGACCGTCTTAAACCAGCGTACACCGACAGCAAACATGAAACACTAGCAACGCCGACACCAATGAACAATCAGAAAGTCAATTCAACTCCAACTCTCCCTCTCTTCACTCTTCCCCCTGTACAGACACGCAGTGGACGGCAGATCTGTAAACCTGCCCGCTATGTTCATTTTATTGACTGACATAAACGTTAACCTCATTTAGACATTCTTCTCATTACTAATGTTGTCGAGATTCATTTCATTATAATCATAAATATTTATTAGTATTATTATTTGCTGTTCGTCAACTGTACTGCAAGCACACGCATTCACCAAGTATATGTATATATCTATTTATATATGAATTTCACAAATGTTAACGAACATGTCATGGTTTATTATGTACATAAATTTTTTATTTAAAATTACAACAAGTTTTGATTTTTTTAAAATTCCTGTATGTGCTTGTATGTGCTAAACTTTATACGACACGGATGCATTATACACATCCTGATCTAACTTTTTATCCTTATTGTTGTTATTGTTATTTTTTGTTATCCTTATTGTTGACATTGTCCCTTATTTATATTGCTTATATTCATGTAATCGTCCAC